GATTTATCATATAAATTTAAAGATGTGAGATTTAAATTCTATTTTTAATATTAAAAAAAAAACTACGTAAAACAACAGTTTACTTGACATGACAACCGGTTGATGCAACATTTGCTTGCCCTACTTCTAGTATTTATGAAAATTTAACATGTTGGTGTGAACATGAAATTAGATCCTATTATTTAGTCATTATCTCTATAATTTAGGAAGTTTAAGTTATTTATTTGTTTTAGATTGTTATAATTTAAATTAGATTAGATAAGATTAGTTATTTATCTTTTTATATAAGATTGGTTAATTATTTTTTTAGATAATATTATCTTGTAAAGCTTATTTAAAGACTGGATTATTTTCAATTTAACGAGAGATTCAGTTTTTCATTCCATCTTCTTCTTCTCGGAAATCCTTGATTTTTAACATTTGGTATCAGAGCCCATTTTTGAAAAATTCCATGGCTTCCGAAAATTATTTCCAGCCCTCAATCCCTCGTTTTGATGGTCATCACTACGACCATTGGAGTATGTTGATGGAGAATTTTCTTCGGTCCAAAAAGTATTGGACTGTTGTTGAAGCTGGAATTCTAGAACCAGCGGCAGGTGCAAATGATGCATAAAGGGCAGAAATTGAGAAGGAAAAATTGAAGGATCTCAAGGCTAAGAACTATTTGTTCCAAGCCATAGATCGGGCTATCTTGGAAACAATTCTTAACAAGTCTATTTCCAAGAATATTTGGGATTCCATGAAGAAGAAGTACCAGGGGAATGAAAGAGCAAAGTGGCAACAGTGCCAGGCTTTGCGGGCAGCATTTGAAGTTCTGTAGATGCAGATTGGTGAATCTATAGATGATTATTTTGCAAGGACGATGGCTATTGCAAACAAGATGAGGATCTGTGGTGAAAATCTGGAGGATGTTGCTATAGTTGAGAAAATGCTTCGGTCTATGACAACAAAATTCAATTATGTTGTTTGTTCAATTGAGGAGTCAAATGATATTGAGACACTTTCTCTTGATGAGTTGCAGAACTCATTGTTAATTCATGAGCGAAAGATAAATCGCCAAGACAAGCAAAAGCAAGCAGTGCAAATTTCGCAGACACAAGCCTTGCAGACCATAATTAATTCAAAGGCTGTAGGTCGAGGAAAAGAAAACTGGAAAGGCAGATTAAGATCTGGTAGACCAAGATATGACAGATTGGAGGAAAGTTCAACCATTGGAATTCAGAAGAGGTGGTAGAACAGAAATTATCAAGCTGCAGATAACAGATCCAAATCTGTAGGAAAGACAAATATTGAATGCTTCAGATGTCATAAGTATGGCCATTATCGTTCTGAGTGCCGTGCTAATCTAAATAGAGGAGAAAGTTCCAATTTTGCAGAACACAATGAGAACAATGACGATTCCTCTCAATTCATGGTCTGCCATCCTAAAGAAGTTAGCAAGAAGAATGTGTGATATCTGGATACTGGTTACGGCAACCACATGTGTGGAGACAAATCTGCGTTTTTAGATTTGGATGAGTCTTGTCAAGACAAGGTGAAATTTGGTGATAATTCCATTATTGCAGTCAAGGGAAGGGGAAAGGTAACCATTCGTGCCAAAGACAATTCAATTCAGACTATTTCTAATGTTTTGTATGTACCAAATTTAAAGTCAAATCTGCTTAGTTTGGGATAGCTACAAGAAAAAGGATATGAAATCCTTATTAAAGATGGAATTTGCCAAATTCATGATTCAAACCTTAGCCTGATTGCAAAGATCAAGATGACAGGAAATAGGTTGTTTCCATTATACTTGCAGACCACAAATCTATCATGTTTATCTACCAGATTAAAGGACACAGCTTGGTTATGGCATTGCTGATTTGGACATCTTTATTTTGGTGGGTTGAAAGCTTTGCAGCATGAGAAGATGGTAAATGGTCTTCCTCATTTTGATTCTACTTCAGAAATTTGTGATATCTACGTGGTCAGTAAACAGCACCGTGACAGTTTTCCTAAAGACAGATCTTGGAGAGCAAAGCAGGTGCTAGATCTGATTCATTCTGATCTGTGTGGACCCATAAATCCAACATCCAATGGAATTAAACAATACTTTATTACCTTTGTTGATGATTATAGTCGCAAAACATAGGTGTATTTTTTGCAGACCAAGTCAGAAGCCTTCGCAGCCTTTAAAAATTTCAAAGTCTTGGGTGAGAATGAGGTTGGCAGATCTGTAAAGGTTCTGCGTACAGATCGTGGTGGTGAGTTTAATTCAAAGGAATTTGCAGATTTTTGTAAGTTCAATGGCATTAAAAGGCAACTCACAACAGCCTATACACCTCAGTAGAATGGTGTATGTGAGAGGAGGAATCGCATAATCATGAATATGGTGCGAAGTCTGATGTCAAAGAGCGACGTGTCTAAGGAGTTTTGGCCAGAAGCTGTTAATTAGAGTGTTCATATCTTAAATAGAAGTCCCACATCTCCACTTCCAGATTTGACGCCAGAAGAGGCTTGGAGTGGACGTAGGCCTGCTGTTGATTACTTTATAATTTTTGGGTGCATAGCATATGCACATGTGCCAGATCAAAAAAGGAGTAAGCTTGATGACAAAGGGGAAAAGTGTATTTTCCTTGGTGTTAGTG